ACAAAGCAAGCTCCACCATTTTGTAGTTGGTCACAACGTTGCCTGCTAGTATATAAGGAACAGAATATGCAAAAAGTTTCCTGTAATCTTCACCTTTTGCAGATGCCTACAAATGCTTTGAAGTGAAAAATAAAAGTTACCTTATAATCAATTTTGGCTTTTTTTTTCAGTAAAGCTATGATCTATTTGACAAATATGCTAACAAAGCAGTACACAAAGTATCTAACAAATGTAGATCTCTGTAGTCCAGTGTTTCTCAAAATTTTCTCATGAAATATATTGGGAATAGCATCACCCCCAAACTGACCATCTGGCTGAGAATACTTTTTCTCAGAAACTGAGATAAGAATCTTAGCAATTAATTATATGCCCCAGGCACTTATAACAGGTTGATGCCTTTCTAAACTGGATGCCTTCCAGCTACATTATTTGCAGAATTCTCTCTAACCTTTCAGTTTTGCCACTCACATATTGACTTGCTGCCTTTCCTATGATGGATTATCTTTATAACACCATCAATCTCTTATTCAGTAACCTTTACCCTGATCAGACAGTACTAGGAATAAAACAAACAAAAGGGCAATAATTACAGCCCTGTAAAACAGAGACCTTAGAACCCAAACAGAACATACCAACTAGATGTGAACACACAAAAATGGGATGGGGTATGAATTTCTGTGTCCTTTGTCAGACTAGCCTAAGGTGAGGTGTGTTTTTTTTCCTTATGGGGAATAAGATGTTAACTCTACAAATCAATTAAATAAATAGAAAACAAAGCTACAGCCTTGAAATAAAATACTGGAGATGAAAATTAGCGAGGTGGCAGAAGGCAGGTGGGTACTAAATGAAAGGAAATTATATCTCACACATTCATACGCCTATAATTAGTAGCTGCGGTACTCTTAACCATGGAAACATCCATAATGGAAAAACAGGGTAGCTCAACTATTATATAACATATAATATAATTCCATTCAAAACCATGGGTCAGTCCACCCAGGACATTCTATCTAGGAGATGTGTTTATACTTCCCTTCATTTACATGAAGGAAATGGAACCTGGAAGCACTATTTCTAAGTGTCTGCTCTGGTCTTTTAGATAGATGTACCCTTATAATCAATACTTCTGCTATCCCTTTTGATGTTCTAGATTAGGGCTGTCAAACTCCTAGTCCACGGGCTGGATGCATCACACACTGGCCACGCCCATGCCCAGTTTAGCAAAGGGGGAAAATTCCGATACATCACGTGATGCTGCTGTGATGACGTGAGTTTGACACCCCTGTTCTAGATGCTGCTTGAGACCCAACTTTTCAGTGGATCATCTGGAGATTAGTTGAAGTCATCATCTTACACTATATTGATTTTTCAAATTAATTAATTTTCCAGTTTATCATCTTTATTTCAAATTCATTTATTTTGATTTTATAGCTTGGTTATTTCATTTCATTATTAGTTATTAGTTTTTTACAAGTATTAGTTTCTTAATTTTTAACATGAATATTTTAATTGTGCTGTTTATCTGTTATGCATTGTATGTTGTTTATTTTATAGATAGATAGATAGAAATAGATAGATAGATAGATAGATAGATAGATAGATAGATAGATAGATAG